CCTGACTCCACTGGCTTCCCGTCACACAGAGAATACTGTTCAAGATCCTACTCCTCACCTTCAAAGCCCTCCATGGTCTTGCTCCCCCCTAACTCAGCAACCTCCTAACGCCCTACTGTCCTGTTCACTCCCTCTGCTCAATGAGCTCCGGCCTCCTTCACGTCCCCCGCCTCGTTCGCACCAATACTGGCGGGTGGGCCTTCTGTTACTCTACCCTACACTCAGGAACCCCATCCCGCAATCCCTCCGCCTTGCCCCTCACTTGCCTCCTTCAAGACCTTCCTCTTTGACCGTACTTTTGATCACCCTGCATCCTCCCGGCCGCCACACTCCCATATCCAGACAACCAGCTTGGGTCCAAAATTCGACTATCCAGCTCCTTGGAACATCCTCCCAACTTGAATGCTGCTATACAAATGCAATTTGTTGTTCTCTTGTGTGTAGTGTTTGTGTGTGGGAGCTCAGTGTGTGTGTGGTGTTGGTGTGTGGGAGCTCAGTGTGTGTGTGGTGTTGGTGTGTGAGAGCTCAGTGTGTGTGTGGTGTTGGTGTGTGAGAGCTCAGTGTGTGTGTGTTGGTGTGTGAGAGCTCAGTGTGTGTGTGTGTGTTGGTGTGTGGGAGCTCAGTGTGTGGTGTTGGTGTGTGAGAGCTCAGTGTGTGTGTGGTGTTGGTGTGTGAGAGCTCAGTGTGTGTAGTGTTGGTGTGTGGGAGCTCAGTGTGTGTGTGGTGTTGGTGTGTGAGAGCTCAGTGTGTGTGTAGTGTTTGTGTGTGGGAGCTCAGTGTGTGTGTGGTGTTGGTGTGTGGGAGCTCAGTGTGTGTGGTGTTGGTGTGTGAGAGCTCAGTGTGTGGTGTTGGTGTGTGAGAGCTCAGTGTGTGGTGTTGGTGTGTGAGAGCTCAGTGTGTGTGGTGTTGGTGTGTGGGAGCTCAGTGTGTGTGTGTTGGTGTGTGAGAGCTCAGTGTGTGGTGTGGGTGTGTGAGAGCTCAGTGTGTGTGTGGTGTTGGTGTGTGGGAGCTCAGTGTGTGTGTGTTGGTGTGTGAGAGCTCAGTGTGTGTAGTGTTGGTGTGTGGGAGCTCAGTGTGTGTGTGTGTTGGTGTGTGAGAGCTCAGTGTGTGGTGTTGGTGTGTGAGAGCTCAGTGTGTGTGTGGTGTTGGTGTGTGAGAGCTCAGTGTGTGTGGTGTTGGTGTGTGAGAGCTCAGTGTGTGTGGTGTTGGTGTGTGGGAGCTCAGTGTGTGTGGTGTTGGTGTGTGAGAGCTCAGTGTGTGTGGTGTTGGTGTGTGAGAGCTCAGTGTGTGGTGTTGGTGTGTGAGAGCTCAGTGTGTGTGGTGTTGGTGTGTGAGAGCTCAGTGTGTGTGGTGTTGGTGTGTGGGAGCTCAGTGTGTGTGTTGGTGTGTGAGAGCTCAGTGTGTCTGGTGTTGGTGTGTGAGAGCTCAGTGTGTGTGTGTGTTGGTGTGTGAGAGCTCAGTGTGTGGTGTTGGTGTGTGAGAGCTCAGTGTGTGTGTGTGTGGTGTTGGTGTGTGGTGGGAGCTCAGTGTGTGGTGTTGGTGTGTGAGAGCTCAGTGTGTGTGTGGGGTGTTGGTGTGTGAGAGCTCAGTGTGTGTGGTGTTGGTGTGTGAGAGCTCAGTGTGTGTGTGTTGGTGTGTGAGAGCTCAGTGTGTGTGTGGTGTTGGTGTGTGAGAGCTCAGTGTGTGGTGTTGGTGTGTGAGAGCTCAGTGTGTGTGTGGTGTTGGTGTGTGAGAGCTCAGTGTGTGGTGTTGGTGTGTGAGAGCTCAGTGTGTGTGGTGTTGGTGTGTGAGAGCTCAGTGTGTGTGGTGTTGGTGTGTGAGAGCTCAGTGTGTGTGGTGTTGGTGTGTGGGAGCTCAGTGTGTGTGTGGTGTTGGTGTGTGAGAGCTCAGTGTGTGTTGGTGCTCAGTGTGTGTGGTGTTGGTGTGTGAGAGCTCAGTGTGTGTGTGTGTTGGTGTGTGAGAGCTCAGTGTGTGTGTGTTGGTGTGTGAGAGCTCAGTGTGTGTGGTGTTGGTGTGTGAGAGCTCAGTGTGTGTGGTGTTGGTGTGTGAGAGCTCAGTGTGTGTGTGTGTTGGTGTGTGAGAGCTCAGTGTGTGTGTGTTGGTGTGTGAGAGCTCAGTGTGTGTGTGGTGTTGGTGTGTGAGAGCTCAGTGTGTGTTGTTGCTCAGTGTGTGTGTGGTGTTGGTGTGTGAGAGCTCAGTGTGTGGTGTTGGTGTGTGAGAGCTCAGTGTGTGGTGTTGGTGTGTGAGAGCTCAGTGTGTGTTGTTGCTCAGTGTGTGGTGTTGATGTGTGAGAGCTCAGTGTGTGTTGTTGCTCAGTGTGTGGTGTTGGTGTGTGAGAGCTCAGTGTGTGGTGTTGGTGTGTGAGAGCTCAGTGTGAGTGTGTGTTGGTGTGTGAGAGCTCAGTGTGTGTGTGGTGTTGGTGTGTGAGAGCTCAGTGTGTGTGGTGTTGGTGTGTGAGAGCTCAGTGTTGTGTGGTGTTGGTGTGTGAGAGCTCAGTGTGTGGTGTGGTTGTTTGGTGTGTGAGAGCTCAGTGTGTGGTGTGTTGGATGTGTGAGAGCTCAGTGTGTGTAGTGTGTTGGTGTGTGAGAGCTCAGTGGTGTGTTGGTGTGTGAGCTCAGTGTGTGTGGTGTTGGTGTGTGAGAGCTCAGTGTGTGTGGTGTTGGTGTGTGAGAGCTCAGTGTGTGGTGTTGGTGTGTGAGAGCTCAGTGTGTGGTGTTGGTGTGTGAGAGCTCAGTGTGTGGTGTTGGTGTGTGAGAGCTCAGTGTGTGTGTGTGGTGTTGGTGTGTGAGAGCTCAGTGTGTGTGTGGTGTTGGTGTGTGAGAGCTCAGTGTGTGTGTGTGGTGTTGGTGTGTGAGAGCTCAGTGTGTGTGTGTGTTGGTGTGTGAGAGCTCAGTGTGTGGTGTTGGTGTGTGAGAGCTCAGTGTGTGGTGTTGGTGTGTGAGAGCTCAGTGTGTGTGTGTGTTGGTGTGTGAGAGCTCAGTGTGTGTGTGGTGTTGGTGTGTGAGAGCTCAGTGTGTGGTGTTGGTGTGTGAGAGCTCAGTGTGTGTGTGGTGTTGGTGTGTGAGAGCTCAGTGTGTGGTGTTGGTGTGTGAGAGCTCAGTGTGTGTGTGGTGTTGGTGTGTGAGAGCTCAGTGTGTGGTGTTGGTGTGTGAGAGCTCAGTGTGTGTGTGTGGTGTTGGTGTGTGAGAGCTCAGTGTGTGGTGTTGGTGTGTGAGAGCTCAGTGTGTGTGTGTGTTGGTGTGTGAGAGCTCAGTGTGTGTGTGTGGTGTTGGTGTGAGAGCTCAGTGTGTGGTGTTGGTGTGTGAGAGCTCAGTGTGTGTGTGTGGTGTTGGTGTGAGAGCTCAGTGTGTGTGTGGTGTTGGTGTGTGAGAGCTCAGTGTGTGTGGTGTTGGTGTGTGAGAGCTCAGTGTGTGGTGTTGGTGTGTGAGAGCTCAGTGTGTGTGTGTGTTGGTGTGTGAGAGCTCAGTGTGTGTGGTGTTGGTGTGTGAGAGCTCAGTGTGTGGTGTTGGTGTGTGAGAGCTCAGTGTGTGTGTGGTGTTGGTGTGTGAGAGCTCAGTGTGTGGTGTTGGTGTGTGAGAGCTCAGTGTGTGTGTGTGTTGGTGTGTGAGAGCTCAGTGTGTGGTGTTGGTGTGTGAGAGCTCAGTGTGTGTGTTGGTGTGGTGTGTGGGGTGTGTGAGAGCTCAGTGTGTGGTGTTGGTGTGTGAGAGCTCAGTGTGTGTGTGGTGTTGGTGTGTGAGAGCTCAGTGTGTGTGTGGTGTTGGTGTGTGAGAGCTCAGTGTGTGGTGTTGGTGTGTGAGAGCTCAGTGTGTGTGGTGTTGGTGTGTGAGAGCTCAGTGTGTGTGGTGTTGGTGTGTGAGAGCTCAGTGTGTGTGTGGTGTTGGTGTGTGAGAGCTCAGTGTGTGTGGTGTTGGTGTGTGAGAGCTCAGTGTGTGGTGTTGGTGTGTGAGAGCTCAGTGTGTGTGGTGGTGTTGGTGTGTGAGAGCTCAGTGTGTGGTGTTGGTGTGTGAGAGCTCAGTGTGTGGTGTTGGTGTGTGAGAGCTCAGTGTGTGGTGTTGGTGTGTGAGAGCTCAGTGTGTGTGTGTTGGTGTGTGAGAGCTCAGTGTGTGGTGTTGGTGTGAGAGCTCAGTGTGTGGTGTTGGTGTGTGAGAGCTCAGTGTGTGTGTGGTGTTGGTGTGTGAGAGCTCAGTGTGTGTGTGGTGTTGGTGTGTGAGAGCTCAGTGTGTGGTGTTGGTGTGTGAGAGCTCAGTGTGTGGTGTTGGTGTGTGAGAGCTCAGTGTGTGTGTGTGTTGGTGTGTGAGAGCTCAGTGTGTGTGTGTGTTGGTGTGTGAGAGCTCAGTGTGTGTGTGGTGTTGGTGTGTGAGAGCTCAGTGTGTGGTGTTGGTGTGTGAGAGCTGTGTGTGTGGTGTTGGTGTGTGAGAGCTCAGTGTGTGGTGTTGTGTGTGAGAGCTCAGTGTGTGTGTTGGTGTGTGAGAGCTCAGTGTGTGTGGTGTTGGTGTGTGAGAGCTCAGTGTGTGTGTGTTGGTGTGTGAGAGCTCAGTGTGTGGTGTTGGTGTGTGAGAGCTCAGTGTGTGTGTGTGTTGGTGTGTGAGAGCTCAGTGTGTGTGTGTGTTGGTGTGTGAGAGCTCAGTGTGTGTGGTGTTGGTGTGTGAGAGCTCAGTGTGTGTGGTGTTGGTGTGTGAGAGCTCAGTGTGTGGTGTTGGTGTGTGAGAGCTCAGTGTGTGTGGTGTTGGTGTGTGAGAGCTCAGTGTGTGGTGTTGGTGTGTGAGAGCTCAGTGTGTGGTGTTGGTGTGTGAGAGCTCAGTGTGTGGTGTGGGTGTGTGAGAGCTCAGTGTGTGTGTGTGGTGTTGGTGTGTGAGAGCTCAGTGTGTGTTGTTGCTCAGTGTGTGTGTGGTGTCAGTATGTGGACCACGTGCCGCCGCACAGTCGGCAGTTGGGATGCGCGAGAGCGAGAGAGAGAGGTCGCGCGAGGGAGGGGGGGGGGGGGAGGAGCCGCGCGGTGACGCTCGTGTCCCAGGGTTCCGGGTGCTGTCCGGCTCTCTGGCGCAGGCGCGGCGCGCGCGCCCCCTGGCGGCCCGGCGGAGCGAAGGGTTCAAAGCAACATGGCGGGGGATGGCAGTTTGTGAGAGAGCGAGAGAGAAAGAAAGGAGAGAGCAGTTGGGCAGGAGAAGGAGGACGGCCGACACCGGGTCCCGCTGACCGTCTGGGCATGGGAGCCGCTCCCCGAGGGGCTTGTGAGCGGGTTGGAGTGTGAGCGCGGCGGCCTCGGGGTGTGCCCGGGCTCCACGCTGCCTGTTGCTGGGTGAGTGCGGCTCCGCTCCTCTTTGCCGGCTGCTGGCTGTGTGGTGTGCGGTGCGGTGCGGTGCGGGGAGGACCACCCTCGGGTCAGGGGGGAGGAGGGAGGGAGGGAGGGCGAGGAGCTGAATCTGAGGACCAGGGAATGAGGAATGGGGCGATCAGGCACCGGGAGCCGCAGCAAACCTCCCCACACCCCCTCCCCGCCACCCCACATACACAGCAATACACATAGCTGAAGTGTACCAGACTCAGCCCCTGGAGTTTCAGGTAAGGAAAGGGCGGATAAACTTGCATTTCATTCAGATTCATGGCTTTTTTTTTTGTCGCCGTTTAAATCCAACTGGATCCCGTTCAATCCCCTTAATACCCCGCATTTCTTCCCCCCCCCCCTCCCCTCTTTTTGTAATTCAGATGACAAAGATACCCCCTGCATACTTGTGCTGTGAAAATTCAATCACTCCCACCCCCTCCCCACCACCACACACACACACTACTTGTTTTTTTTTTAAAAGATAGCTTTCTCTTCCCTCCTTATGCTTTTTTTTACGTACGCCTTTCAACTGGTATTTAATGAGGAGGTGTAAGTTTGTCGATCAGGTTAATTTGTAACCCAATGTTATCTTCTTTTGATACTCCCTTGCAAACACGTTGAAAGAGCAAATTCAGTATGTTGAAGGCAGTGAAAATGGTTGAAGTGCAACACTTTTAACCGGGGTTAAAAGAACACAGCAAACTCGTTTGTAAGTTGGCCAGTCATGAAACACTACGTTTACGATTTTTATTTTTTTTAAAATGGAAAATAGATGTTAAATAATGTGAGTGGTGGTGTAGAGATTTTTGTGTTTAAATATCAAATGGCATAACAGCCAAAGTTTTAAGGCAGATGTCTCCAGAAATTTATGCCAGTGATTAGGGTAATAAAGGATGGAGAGCTTTTGTGAGGTCTAATAGGTAACCAATTTTCCATGTGATTACAACTTCAGCAACCTTGGTTCAGAAGTGAGAGCTTAACTCCTGTTTAAGTGTTCTGCACAGAGGGCAGTGTTACAGGAAGATGGCATTGTTTGGGAGAGTTTTGCACAAGTGAGACTCTGAAGCTTTAATGCTAATGTACAGTGTGGACATTTTTGAACTGATGCAAAATGTTAATGAGCGGCTTTTACTCTTGTAGGATAAACTTGGAGGTCTGCTGTAAACACGAGCAGGTTTGGGGGTGTTTCTTCAGCTATAATAAAATAGACTGCTGGCCTATCTTAGAGGGTGTTTTTTGGCATAGAATACATCTCCTTATCAAGTGCATCAGCCTGTATGGTTTTTGTTTTGGACTGTACTAAATTTTATTCCAGCAACCCAAACAACAACGTGGGGACGTGGAGCAGACCGGAGCCTGCTGAGCAGAGGGAGCGGCAGGTTGGTATGGGGTTAGCAGATTACAAAGGTAGGAAAGAGCAAGGCTGTGGAGGGCCTTGAAGGCGAGGATGAGGATATTGAGGCTCCCATCTATCCTCCGGGGGACGGGAACCAGTGGAGCCAGGCAAGGGTTGGGATGATAGGTCACTACAGCTTATGTGGAACAAGTTGTAATTTGTAGACTCAAGGTTTTATGACAAGTTCCATTCAGTTTTCTTCACCTTCCAATACATGTTTTCCTTAGATTCTAGATCGGATAGATTGGGAAGTATCAAGACAGGGAACTGAATGTCTGTGTCTGAAGAGAATTTACAATCCCTGTAGATGTTGGTGGCCATTATGTGTTTTGGTTTACAAGGTTGTATTTCTAGTACTTAATAGGGTATATAATGTAAAAGAAAAGCTTGATGGATTTATGTATGGTTAAATTACACATTTAAGGCTGTAATTTAGCTGTCACTTTTTGAGTATGTAGCTTTTTAAAGTTTTTCAATTATTTAGTGTAATGATGAGATGTATATGATACGGATGAAATGCAGTGGCCAGGGGGACCATTTTGCCAATAAGGTGTGAACGCTTCCTGGGGGAGGGCTGGAGGAGGGAGAAAGATGGAGAGACTAATTTACTCTACTGGATATCTTTTTACATTCATTGTATATTAATCCACATTAACCGAGTAACATTTTTGTGAAGTTTACGTAAACAACCATGTGTGCTGCACAGGTGACTTGAGGCAATCGTCTATGATGTGATCTGTTATTTCTACAGTTTACAAAACTACACCATAACATTTTAGAAGAACATTTTTTATTCTCAATATGGTATAACATTTTTAAAAAATCAGTATTCCTCGCCTTCCAATACATGCTTCGCTTAGATTCTAATAGGACAGATTGGGAAATACCAATCCTTTTCAGGGATTGTAAATGCCCTTCCCCACCTCTGCAACCTATTAAAGCATTACCAATCTGTCTGCTTGGCGGGCACTGGCCTGCACCATGTCTGCTGCGCTTGTCCCACGATCAGTGGCCAGGCCTTCAGCTTTTCTGCCCCCATCCTCTGGAGCCCCTATCCATCCTGGAGCCGCTCCGCTTTAACCCCTCCTTTGCCTCCTTCACGGCCCATCTTAAGCCTACCTCTTTGATTGTACCTCGATCATATTTCCACTTCTGCTTGCCCTCCATCCCTCTTGAGTCCACCCCCCAGCTCGGGTGCAAACCCTTCACTGTTTAACACCTTGAGATGTTCTTCCGACGTAAATGGCACTGTATGTATATAAATGCAATTTGTTGTTCTTTAAAAGCATACAAGAAATTCTGGCATTGAATTTGTGTGAGAAGGGTATGTTACTAATAAGTGTAAACTTTTTGCATGGCATGTTGATGTTCATGTAACAGGAATTGCTTATTTGGTTTCAGAGACCATACTCAAGGACATATGATGTTGAGTGAAATAGTAGTTAGATAAATAAATACTAGCTCTGTATGGCTGATGTGAGTTTTATTGTTTTCTCTGATTCTTGCTCGGGTGGTTCATTTTTGCAGCTCTTCTAGTAAAGTAATGTGTTACTCGTATTTGGATAATCGAAATTGCTACCTGTTTGGTTAAATTCAGTCTTCTATAGCAAATATAGTATTCTTTGTAGATCTAAAATAATGTGTAATACCAATTAGCTAGGATGGTGTAGCTCAGTGGTTAGAGCACTTGCTTTGGAAGCGAGAGACCTGAGTTCAATTCCAGGCAGAGGGCGAAACCTTGGGGAAGTTTCCTTACTCCACACAGAGCCTAATAATAATCCCTCCAAAACAAAACAATAATAAATTGGTCATTTTCAATCTACGACTGTTTGTGGGACACTGCTGTGCGTAATTGGCTGCCGCGTTCGCCTACAAATATACAGTCAATTTACTTTACAGTACATATATATATATATGAAAATGAACTAACTATTTTCAAAACCAGCTTATTAATTGAGTGGTTCACATGCTCAATCTTGGCTTCCATTTGAGCTACACAGCTACTTGGTGAGTAATCAAATGATCTCCTTCCTGCCCTTCCTAGCTTTAACCTCTGCAAATTCCGTTTCACCCAGAACTCTGCAGCTTATATCCTCTCCCACCACCCTTCCTTGCCAGGTTAAATGGCTCCATTTCCCCCAGCAAATTAACTTGAAAATCCTTGTTTTGATTATCAAATCCCACCATGGCTTTGCCTAGCCCTACCTCTGCGATCATCTATAGAGTCCTGTATTTTAGTGGTTGGAGCACTTGCCTCGCAGGTGAGAGACCTGGGTTTGATTCCCGGCAGGGCAAAACATTTGGCAAGTTTCCTTACTCCCCACGCCTCTGTTTACCTAGCAGTAAGTAGGAACAACGGTTGTTAGTCGATTGGTGGATCACTTTTCTGGGGGTAATAATTTCTTTTGTAATTTTTTTTTAAAAAATTGGTCACTCAATCCACAACTGTTTGTGGGAAATTGGCTGCTGTGTTCTGCCCACAAAATATACAGTCAATTCACTTTACAGTATATTCTGTGAAGTGCTTTGAGACGTCTCAAAGACACGATAAGGTGCCTTATCAAATGCAAGATATTATCATCACCAACACTACTCTCCTGCCACCTTTTCTACTCCACAAAATCTTCACTCTGGAAACTGAACTTTCAATCTACACCTTGCCTTCCTGTCTTGGTGGTCCGGTTCCTGAGCCAGACAGTTCTGCTGTACTCCAGGGCTCTACTGATGACAGCACAGCCACCTTGGCTCATCGGGAGCACTTGGAAGGGCAGACCGGTCTCTGGGGGGCAGGGAATCCTCCACTCAGCTCCTGTTAAAAAAGCCTGTTATTGGACAAGCAACAGGAAAGCTTGAAAGTCAGTGCTGTCAATGGTTTTAGCTGGGTAGACTCCAGCACACTCTGGGGTCGATTGGCAGATTGCTTTTTGGGGGTAATAATCCCTTAAAAAAAATAATTTGGTCTCTCAATCCACAACGGTTTGTGGAAAACTGCTGTGTGCAATTAGCTGCTGCATTTCACCCATAAAATATATCGTCAATTCACTTTACAGTATATTCCGTGAAGCGCTTTGAGACTTGATAAGGTGCTATATCAAATGCAAGGATTATTATTATTCCTTTTAAATGGCTTTATATAAGTGGTTCTTGGTCACAACTTCGTGAAACTGAAGACTATGTTGGCAGGATTGGTGGTAGGCAGTGTTATGAACCAACCTCAGACTTAGTATTTTGCAAAAGCTGATTGAAGTGATATGTGTCATGGTTTTATTTTTATAGGAGTGATAAGGATGAAAAATGTTGAAACCTATGTAAATTTAAACCTATTTATTCAGACTAAATATAGATGCTGACTTTTGTTCAATATTAGAAATTACACCTGGATCACAACATTTTAAAGGGAGTAGCAGAGCACAGGACATTGGTTTACAGATGCGCAAATCATTGACGGTAAATGTCCAAGTAGGTTTGGACATAAAATGCTAAAACAAATCCTGTTTTTTATGTAGCAGCATTGGATAGAAAAGCAAGAAGATAATCTTGAGCTTGTATCAAGACTTTGGTTAGTCCACAGTTGGAT